CATAGTCTCCATTCACCTTCATTTGCAAGGAAACCGAACCCCTGAAATCTCCCTCACCTGTTTGGAGACTGGGATGCATGCAACATCTTCAAGACTCACCCTACCAGTCATCTACCCAGATGTTTTCTCATCCTAGTGTTCATTGTACATAACTTAAAAAATGGGTTGTATCCAATGTTGGTTCTACTCAAAATAGACCCACTGAAATTAAAAGGTGTGATGCAACCCAGTGAGTGCTGCTCTGTGTATGCCTAACAATGGATTTATATCTAGCAGCTGCTAAGGGGTCATTTCCAAGATATCTTTAGGGCTATTAGGGCACTGTGCAAATATCATTTTCCCTGCACAAACATGGTTGCCTAGAGGAAGTTGAATGTTTCCCATCTGCCTATCGATTTGCGTCATAAATAAGCAAAGTGTGTTCCATAAGGTGGAATTTACCGACTTAGAAATAACCAGCTGTTATCTCGTTACTTCCTCGTTACTTTATTTTCACAACAACGAATATATTTCCCCTATTTCTTTTGCAGAAGCACCAAACATCTGCTACAACCTCAATGCCCCCTAAATGGAAAGCCTTGCAGGATTTGCAACTTTCACTTTTGTATAAAAAGATGTGCAGTTTAGCATTAGCTGAAAAAATAGCTTATAAATTATGTGTTGCCTAAGGCTTGGAGGGGGACGTGAGTGGCACTGTGGGTTAAACCACAGAGCCTAGGACTTGCCGATCAGAAGGTCGGCAGTTCGAATCCCCGCGACGGGGTGAGCTCCCGTTGCTCGGTCCCTGCTCCTGCCAACCTAGCAATTCGAAAGCACGTCCAAGTGCAAGTAGATAAATAGGTACCGCTCCGGCGGGAAGGTAAACGGCGTTTCCATGCGCTGCTCTGGTTTGCCAGAAGTGGCTTAGTCCTGCTGGCCATATGACCCGGAAGCTGTACGCCAGCTCCCTCGGCCAAGAAAGTGAGATGAGCGCTGCAACCCCAGAGTCGGTCACGACTGGACTTAATGGTCAGGGGTCCCTTTACCTTTACCACTTGCAACCTCAGAACAGGGTTATTAAAACAAGCATCTCTCCTGATGACCAGTGTACAAAGAAGGTTGAAATGGGGTGGGGAGGCAGACGTGCAAGGCAAAGGGATCTGCATGACCCGGAAGCTGTATGCCGGCTCCCTCGGTCAATAAAGCGAGATGAGCGCCCCAACCCCAGAGTCGGTCACGACTGGACCTAATGGTCAGGGGTCCCTTTACCTTTAAGGCTTGGAGAAACCTGAAAAGTTATAGGCTGCTTAGCAGGATTCTAGATTATATACAACAAATACATACCCTGAGAAGCATTTATTAGGAGAAATGTGTACTAAGATCGTGATTAATTTTCATGGGGACTTAAAAAACAAAACAAAATCACAAGTGGATGCAGAAATGTGTTGAAATAACCTTGGGATTGGCAAAATCAGAAATCGAAAGAAACAAAATTTGATGTATCCATTGCAAATTTCTAGTGCAAAGTTTGCAAGATACATCCCAACTGTAGCTTTAGTAGGGGTCAAAGGTAAAGTTAGATATATGTTCCCGCTTAATTTTTTGACGCTTGCCTTTAAACTCACTTAAAAGCATATGGAAGAAGATATTAACAGTAGGCCCCATGTTCGACTCCACCTATATTTTAAGAAAGCGTGTTCTCCTTCATGGAGAGCACGTGTCGCGGTGGGGGCCGACAGGACACTCCAAAGTTGTGGGGCAGGCTAATTGATCTTTGGCCACTGTTGTGATTGGGCTTCCCTTGTTGTTGGGAAGAAGTTAATGTTGCCATTTGATGATTGACAGCCAGAAATGTTAAAATTCCCTGCACGAGGCGTAGAGCTTCCTCTTTTCGCTCTGTGCATCGGATTGCCCGTCTCCCCCCCCCCCCATATTTAGGGTTGTTCACTTTGACCTTGCTATGCCTGTCATGGGATCGTCTGCTCTTGGGGCAGGGGCCCGGTAGGAATTTTGTCCATCTGGCTGATTGGCTGGGGGCCATTTGGTTTTTGCCTACTGTGTAGCAAATCGTCACAACTTGCGGTTAGGCATTGGTTTATGGTTTGGTTGGTTGAGGGGCATGGATTGGCTGTGCCTGCCCCTCTAATGCTGCTGCTGCAAGGGATTCTGTTAAAGGACTACAGGGGCTCACTATTGCTTTTGTCCAAACCCTGTCAAGGGGCTAGGGCCATGCAAGAGCCCCTGGTTGCATTTGGGGAAGGCTGAGGGCTACCCCCAAGTGTATTCCCCTTTTCTGACTTTCGCATCGTGCGGAATGTCAGTCTGTCCCCCATGGTGGGGGCAGATAGTCGCAACCAATGCCTAAGCAACCACTCACATTTTTTGTATTTTAATAAAGTTGTGGCCAAATTTATGCCAAAAACCTTAAACAAAAATTCTGTGTGATGTGTGAGTTATTTGGGGTGACCTGGGGACCTCGACATGCAAAAGTTAACCTAAGCTGACACGACACTCTCAGCATCTGTGAATGAGAGTGTACAGGTGCTTGGGTTAACGTGTTTGTTCAAGAAGGAAGCAGTCTTTTTTTCCAAGAGACTGGATTTCCTGTGGGTTTTCTCTGAGCTCTGAACAACATTTTAGGAGGTGGGTAAGTGCTGCGGTTATTTGTTTTATGCAATACAGTAAATTTGTGGAAACTTCCTCTGAATAGCATTGTTTTCGAGGCAGCCCTCACTTCCAAAAGAGAAACAAACATGCAAATTACAAACGAAGGAAGAGAGAAAAGACAACAACTATAAACAGAAACATTTATTCTAAGCAACTGTAGAACAAGAACAGACTGAAAGAGCCAGCTGATTCCTGTTCTGTGATTCAACAAAATGGGGAAAGGAAACCGTATTTTCGTTTGCCAACCTGCGTTCATGTGGACAGACTGTAGGTGCAGAGAGCTAGAGAACGAGTAGGTTTTCAGTACTGAGACAGCTTCATCCTCAGCTACCACCTGCACTGCCTGGGACGCGGGTGTGCTGTGGGTTAAACCACAGAGCCTAGGACTTGCCGATCAGAAGGTTGGCAGCTCGAATCCCCGTGATGGGGTGAGCTCCCGTTGCTGGGTCCCTGCTCCTGCCAACCTAGCAGTTCGAAAGCACGTCAAAGTGCAAGTAGATAAATAGGTACCACTCAGGTGGGAAGGTAAACAGCATTTCCGTGCATTGCTCTGGTTCGCCAGAAGCAGCTTAGTCATGCTGGCCACATGACCCGGAAGCTGTACGCAGGCCCCCTTGGCCAATAAAGCGAGATGAGCGCCGCAACCCCAGAGTTGGTCACGACTGGACCTAATGGTCAGGGGTCCCTTTACCTTTACCACCTGCAACCTCAGAACAGGCATATTAAAACAAGCATCTCTCCTGATGACCAGTGTACAGAGCAGGTTGAAAAGGGGTGGGGAGGCAGGGGTGTAAAGCAAAGGGCTCTGGTTCAGATCTCTGGACCTCTTGAAAGAGGAGCAGAAGCCAGAACACCCACACAGCAGAAATGACATTTGGTATCTATTTCTGCTTTGCATTTGCTGCTGCTATCTTTGCAAGCCACCCTAGAGTGGCTGGGGAAACTCAGCCAGATGGGCGGGGTATAAATAATAAGAGAGCTGATGAACTGCTTGTGGGGGAGGAGTCAGCTGGGGCAGGTGGAAGTGCAGAGTGTAGAATGGCTTGCTGAACACGAGCATATTTGGTAAGGATATTTAAACGTACATAATTTTGCCACTTCAATTGTGACTTCACTAGTGGAGCCTGGTGAAATGAGGGAGAACTGTAAAAGTTACCAGGGACTAGGACTTTCCCGGGTGTCAAAAAAGATTATTTATGTATGCCACCACTGCGGCCCGTGTTTCGTTAGCCCCCAGATGGAAAATGAGCGAGGTCCCAACTAAAGAAGAATGGCAACATAAACTGATGGAACATGCGCAGCTTGCGGAACTAATGCATAGTATAACAGAACAAGAAGAACACACGTTTAAAGAAGATTGGGAAAGGTTTATTGAATATATGGGGGGAAATTGTGTGCACTTGAGAATGTTGGCAGCGTTAAGATAAATCCAACAGTGTAAACAAGTTTTGATGGATGTAATAATGAAATACTGAGTGGTTTAGCTTATGTAAAATATGAAGGGATTTATGATATGCAAAATGAACCATGGAAAAAGAAGAGGGGAAGTCACTGACATTTTAAGGTTGTTTGAATGAATATTCTAAAGTGTGAAACAGAAAATTCAATTAAAAAAAATATATAGATATAAATATCTACCTATCTCGATATCTCGATATCAATATCGATGTATAGATATATAGCTATGTATATGTATAGTCACCAGGGACTCATCTACATTGGTAAAAAAAAAAGTTTTTAAATGCATTATAACATTGTGACACCAGATGGCGGTGTAGAGTTCCATCTTTAGGCAACGTGGTTTCCTTTTATGAGGTTTGCAACACATTTTCCTGAAACTTTTTTTTATGTGTCTAGATCCAGCCCAGATCTGCCCCAAACATTAATTAAAATGGGTGCCTTATATAAGGCGTGAACGCCCTATAATATGAACAGTACAGTAATACATGCTCAAGCGTTTTAATGCAGAGCAGACACATAGATGTTGAGTGTAAATATTTCCCTTCCAATAGTGAAGATGGTAAGGGCTTAAAGGGGGTCTTACGAACTAGGCCATATCACCACCAGCACTGGGATTGCCACGATCATCTCCATCACCACCGCAATTTCCATCACCCCCACCATTCTGTTCTGCAAGAAGTTCTCACCTGGTCATCATCGCCTTCTGGGGGGCTTCTCTTTGCAATCTCTGAGTACTGAAGCTCAGGAAGTGGCTCCTCCCTTGGCATCATGGAGGTAGCTGCAGAGGGGAACATAAGACATTTACTCTATTGGGTCACCCACACCTGCCTAGCAGATTCAGGTAGGTAGCCGTGTTGGTTTGACAAAGTCGAAATAAATTAATTTTTTTTTTTAATCCAGTAGCACCTTAGGGACCAACCAAGTTTGTTCTGGGTATAAGCTTTCGTTTGCATGCACACTTCTTCAGATACACTGAAACAGAAGTCACCAGACCCTGATATATAGTGGGAGGGTGGGGTGGGGTTTTTCTCAGGAGGGTAGTAGGAGATGGGCAATTGACTCAATGGGTATGGTAAACCTGTTGACGACTGTTAACAACTGCAATTAGTCCTATAAGAAAAAGCAAGGGATAGTATGCAGATGTCCAAAAATAGCTTTAGCATATGTGATGTAACGTCTCATTACATATGCCAAATATGCTAAATATGTCTCATTACATATGCTAATCACACACACTGCGTTTCCGTGCACTGCTCTGGTTCGCCCGAAGCGGCTTAGTCATGCTGGCCACATGACCCGGAAGCTGTAAGCCGGCTCCCTCGGCCAATAAAGCGAGATGAGCGCCGCAACCTCAGAGTTGGCCATGACTGGACCTAATGGTCAGGGGTCCCTTTACTTAAGGGTACAGAACTATGTAGAGGAACCCTAAACCCCCACTGAAAGGGACTCAAGTTTCACAGAGATAAGCTGTGGGGGGCAGGATGGTCATCCCAACAGATTCTTCGGTCGGTTCCCTCAAGACTTTCCTTCTGCTCTTACGAAAAGCTTCCTACCTCTGTTGGGTGGCATTTTCCTTCTTTTCTTCCAGGTCTTTAGCCCAAATCCAGCCAAGAGGAGGAAAATTACGAAGAAAATGATGAGAAAAGTCCAGCTCCAGCTCCAATGCAGTCCGGGTTGATTGCCACCTGCAAAGATTGGATAAATAATAGTTTTTTCGTGCAAGATATTGGAAGACCTCTAAAATGTTGGGCAATACGAGCTCTGAAAGGAGACCCCACAGCTTATTGGTGGGTTGCGTGGACCATAGCTGTCAACATTTTCCTTTTTTTAAGGGAAATTCCCTTATTCTGAATAGGATTCCTCGCAAGAAAAGGGAAAAGTTGACAGCTATGGCATGGACAAGGGTCTCGGCTAGAGCTGTGCACAAACAGCTTCTTGAAAGCTTCAGAGCTACCTCAGCAATATAGAAACTTATTTATGTATACAGCTACAGCCACAGGAAGATATTTGCCCAAAAATGGATAGAAGAAGTTCCGATGAGAAAAGAATGGTTACAGAAAATAATGGGATATGCAGAAATGGCAAAACTTACTAGAAGAATTAGAAATCAAGACAACCTTTTTTTTTATTAAGGAACGGAAGTGGTTTATTGAATATTTACAAACAAATTGCAAACATATCATTAAGACGTTAGCAGGACTACTGTGAAAACTTGTGGTTTTTAAAACAGACATAGAAGAATAAAAAGAATATTGCGGGGTAAAAAAGTTTCACCCAGTGGTTATCTGCAGTGATCCATCTCCTATTCCTGATCACTTCACCTGGTTCCTATTTCTTTCCTTGCTGTTTTCTCATTATTATATGTACTTAGTGGTAAATTATTATTCTTACGATTATTATGTGGTTTATAAGCTATGCTGAGAGTGATTGAATGGCTGTGAAATCCTTTCATTGTTAGAGAACTCCATTCATTGCCAAAGCTGTTTTTTTCCATGGAAAGAAAACCCACATGTCATAATCCCCAGATGTTTTCTGATGCCAGATGTTGGCTTGATGGCTGCCAATGAATGGCCTTCTTGCTGCTCTAAGAAAGCAATTTCAAATAATGGTTAGTCCCAACAATGTGTGTTTTAGACTTGGATACAAAAATACAACTGGGTCTGTGAAGTGGAAAAGAGGTGGAATATTTTGGACTTTGTGAGAAAATCTGTCCCATAGCAGGCTACACTGTCTTTGGGTTTAATATATACGTATCTAGGGAGACTTTCAGATAAGCACTGTTATAAATGTGCTTTAAAATATAATGCCGTTATTTGGATGATAAGAGCCACATAAATTATGGCGCAGACAAAGAGGCCTGTGTTTACGGCATCTGTTATAGCTTTTGAAGCTTGTGAAAGCTGCAGTTTTCGGATGATAAAAGGCAGCTGGAGAGGGGAGTCTTTTCCCACAAGTTTCTCTGTTAAAAAATGTCCAAGGCTTAAACGGAGAGATACTGAACCACCTGTCCATATTTTTGGGTGGGGAAATGTTGTAAGGTAAAAAGAAAGTAAGGTAAAAAAGAAAGAAAGAAAGAAAGAAAGAAAGAAAGAAAGAAAGAAAGAAAGAAAAGAAAAGAAAAGGCTGGATAGAAAAGAAAAGGCTGCCAGATAATTTTAAATCACCAGAGCATGCACTTTTTAACATGTGATTTTAGTAAGAACGATTATTTTCAAATTACAGTCGTACCTTGGAAGTGGAACAGAATCTGTTCTGGAAGTCCGTTCGACTTCCAAAACTTTCGGAAACCAAAGTGCGGCTTCTGATTGGCTGTGGGAAGCTCCTGCAGTCAACTGGAAGCCGCGGAAGTACTGTCAGATATTCAGGTTCCAAAAATCGTTTGAAAACAGGAACAGTCACTTCCGGGTTTCGATCGTTCGGGAGCTGATTGGTTAAGGAGCCAAGGCGTTTGAGATTCAAAGTACTACTGTACTGATTTCAATTCTATCTCAAAAGTTTATGTAACGTGCTTTTGAGGGCTGCTTTTAAAAGTATGTTTAATGAATATTCTAGATTCCTTTGTAAACCACTAGCAGAGAGAGAGAGAGAGAAGAAACGGATAAGACAACGCCCTGAATTCCACCCGTTTGCTTTTGGCAGGAATTGTGCAATCGTCCCCAGCCATCCTCGGCTAGTTACGAGGACTGATTCCTAAGTTTGCACCGGCTCATGAATCTGTCTAGATTTCCATTTGAAAAAATTTAAATCTTTCCATTTCATTGACCCCATGATAAGGCTCATTTTGAAATTAACATGGAAGGGAAGTGTTGGGTGTTCAACACCCCAATCAACTACCCAGCTAATGCATAATGAGGAAGGGGAGGAGGACAAATAACTGTTCAGCTTTCACTGTGTTTTATGCACTTTTAAAGATTAAATCAATGATTTTTTAATTAAGTGGTTTCTGCAGTTTTCTAAATAAAATAGAGAGTTGCTCACCTTCAGTTTGGCAGATGTGCAGCAAGTTGGAGGAGATGCTTTTCTGATCTGCTGGATTGGTGACCAGGCAGGTGATGTTGGGCTCTGAGGAGTTGAGCTTCCAGAACAAGTGGAGATTTTTGCCATTGCCAGAGAGGTGATATGACTTTGAACCATCTTCTAAGTCCCTGAAGGCATCCCCTTTTCCCCAGGAGATGTTGAATTCCCCCTTTCCAGGCACCTGACACTGCAGGGTCACATTGCAGCCATCTGGGCTCCTGGAGACAACTTGGGAGAGGATTTTTGGTTCTGGGACTGGTTCTGTGGAATAACATATGAAAGGCTCATATGTTTCCCAGCACAATTCAAAATGTTGGTGCTGACCTTTAAAGCCCAGTAGACCTGAAGGAGCGTCTCCACCCTCATCGTTCAGCCTGGACACTGAGGTCCAGCTCCCAGGGCCTTCTGGCGGTTCCCTCCCTGCGAGAAGTGAGACGACAGGGAACCCGGCAGAAGGCCTTCTCAGTGGTGGCACCTGCACTGTGGAATGCCCTCCTGTCAGATGTCAGGGAAATAAACAACTATCTGACTTTTAGAAGACATCTGAAGTCACGGGAAGATTTAATGTTTGATCTTGCATCGTGATTTTAATATTCTGTTGGGAGCCGCTCGGAGTGGCTGTGGAAACCCAGTCAGATGGGCGGGGAATAAATAAATAAATAAATAATAGTAATAATAGTAATAATAATAATAATAATATGTGCCCTCCATGGCTGTCAGCAACTGCCCAGCAACATCACTGCTGAAGGAGAGAAAGGCTGTCTCTATTTCCAGGCTCTATTTCACAATAAATAGACACAGATGAATAAAGAATTACTTACCATACACAGAGAGGTGGAAGGTGTAATCTTCATACTGTGTTGAAGTAAACTTCACTATAATGGAATATTTGCCATTGTCATCCATTTCCAAGTCTTTGATCCTCAGGGTGGTATCATTGGCCATCTCCAATCTTGGCCCAAACCTGTCCTTGGGATTCAGCCTCTCCAGTCTTCCTTCCTTCAACTCAGCCAGCTGAAATTTCAAACCATTTCTCCCCTGGAAATACCACTCGACTGTCTTCAATGTTTCCGCTTGGGGAATATTTACAGGGAGCAACACACAGCCTCCCAGGATCCCATTCAACTTCTCCTTGTGGGGATTCTGTACTCTGATATTTGCAGTACCTTAAAAAGTTCATGGGAAAGAAGGAAGGAAAAGGGAGAAACAAAGTCAAAGAAAGGGACAACGGTTGGAAAAGTCTCTCAGAATCACTGATTTAAAGCTTTACCAAATGTGTGGATTTATTCGTTATTTTTACCTAACCAAATGTATAAACCACTTGATTTTAAATGGGGAAAAAACCCTTTTAAAAATAACACACTTAAAAACAGGTATTTTTAAAAGTCAAGATATAATTAAAGCAAATGCTACTGGGGCTTCCGGTTCCACTCTGCCTTAATGGAGGAAGACCCCACAGCAGCGGGAGGTTGTTGGCTAAGGAAAAACAAGGATGATTGAGGGTAATTATCCTTGCAAGTTCCCCCCAGGGACAGGAAGGAATGGGCTTCTCTCGCAGTTTGTCTCGGTACCTGGCTCTCATTCCGGAACGGATCGTGGGAGGCAGGGAGGCGCGGTGTACAAAAGCACTTTGTTTGCTGAAAACCCTCCTATGCCACCATTAAGAAGCAGAGGCACTCCTGTTAATTACGGCTTAATTTGGACTAAAGTACTAGAAAAGATGAGATCAAAAACTGTGGAACAAAACCAACTGCAAGGTCTTTAAGGTTTGAACTTGAGAGAAGACTTCATTTGGTGCAAAAGACGTTGTGGGGAGAGGGGAGCCTATAGTTTCTTTATATAAAATTTTCTGCTCTACATTTATGATTCGGGAACCCTCCTCTGAATGTTAGTTCGAATTATATTTGTACCAGTGAGGATGTAAGAAATTGGATTATAGATATGGAATATAACATTAAATGGAACTGCGTGTGTAAAAAAAGGAAAAAGGGAGGGAAACTCTATTTTGCAAAAGAATTATGATGAAAACTTAGAGCTGACTCTTCCCCATCCTTTATTGTTTATGGAGTGAACTGAATAACGCTAAGAGGTCTTGGAATTAAATTAAATTGGCAGTATAATTGCTCCTTTATCATCAGTTGGACGGTAGGATGGAAGGAGTCTGTGAACTTGCCAAGGAACTGATAAGGTTCATTGTAATTTTATAAATCATTTAATGTGTCAACACGAATAGAAGTTATTAATACTGCAGTTGTTCTATAAGGGATTATTATTATGACTGGAATGTAATAGAAATTAATAAGATTTTGGAATGCAGAAATAAAGCAAATAATCAAGCCATCAATTCTAGCATGTGGGGGGGGCACCTTATCTAAATTATATAATTTGGTATTTGAATGATTGGTATTAATAATTGTATTATAAATTTGTATTGCATTTTATTGAGGCTATTGTTGTTGTTTAGTCGTTTAGTCGTGTCCGACTCTTCGTGCCCCCATGGACCAGAGCACGCCAGGCACTCCTGTCTTCCACTGCCTCCCGCAGTTTGGTCAAACATTGAGGCTATTACTGGACTGTAATTGAAAACTAATAAAAATTAGTAGCAAAAAACCCAACAAAAACAAGCTAACAACACTTTGAAAAAGATTTCGGGAATGTAGTATTTCATGAAATTGAGAATATAACCAATCAAGATATAGAAATGGATTGTCCTTTAGCTTTGTTAAGCAGTTTCTCAAACAGCAATAAGAAGGTGAGAAGTAAAGTGTTGATCGGTCATCTTTTAATGGAAGGCAAAGTGAAGAACTATCTGTTTTTGGAGGACTTAGAAGGAGCTACACCAGAATATTGGTATATTAAAAGGTTGAGGAGACAGCTTCAGTTGAAAGGTTGATCAATAAATTGAAATTGGCTGGGAGGGCTAAACAGAGGGTATGTTTTGGATCAGAATAGTTTGATTCTGTAATTTATATGAATAGGAGAGTGAGAGATGTAATGTCACCATCTTAGTCTGCAACTTTAATTGATTAAACTCATTATAGTTTAATTAATTACTTGATTGCAATATATTGCCCACCCTTCGCTCTAAGGTCCCAGGGTGACTGACAATGATTAAAACACATTAACATTAAAACATAATATTGCACAACATCTTTTGTGATTTCTGCTTGCCTATTAATTTCAGGAACTGACAATGATTAAAACACATTAACATTAAAACATAATATTGCACAATATCTTTTGTGATTTCTGCTTGCCTATTAATTTCAGGAACTGACCTTTACTCAAGCTTTTAAGTTATGCTCTTTGTACATTTCTGTGGATAAAAAAAGATAAAAAAATAAAAAGGTTTCTGGGAGCCCCGCCCTCGATTAAAATACATGCCAAATTCTGTATGTCTGGGTAAGGTTGCCTGGATGGAGAGGTTTTAAGCATTAAGGACACCTGTCTGATGCAAAATAGCAGGGAGTTCCAAAGTCTAGGTTCTGCCACATTAAAATTTTGATTTCTTGCAGGTGTGAAATGAATATTATGTGGCACCAGTAAGTAGTACCAATTCAAGAGCCTGTATGGGGCAAGGTAATCCTTCACATAAACTGGTCTCAAGCTATTTTGCGGGCTTTATGTACCAGTAGCAATGCCTTAAATTTAGTCCCATAACATAACGCCAGCCAATGCAGATCTCTGAGGAGATGTGTTAAATGTGGCCAGGGTCTCACTCATATCAGCAGCTATACACTAACTGCAGCTTTTAGTTCAAGCGCAAGAGGAGACCCACTCAGAGTGCACTGGATATCATTATTCAATTCTGAAAGGTGCTTTGTCAGACTGCAGAAGCATCGTTGCTAACTGCGTTTTTAAACACAAATCAGCCTGATATTTGCCTTCAAGAATAAACCCAGGACTGAGTCTTTGAAAGATCGCTTGCGGGACCAGCTTTCCCCAGCTAAAGCTGAAATGAAATTTCCTGCAAAGAAGAATCCCTCCATTTTGAGAGGAAGAAAACTGAGGCATCTCACTCTGTTCCAACCCTAAAATGCACTTGCTTGAGAAGGAAGCAGTACTGTTTCAAACGATTTTATAGTCGGCGGCCTCTGCATCCATCCATTACAGCACAGGGAGTCTCCTGGCTGCATCCCCTCTGTTGTTTGCGCTCTGAGCGTAATGTAGCTTATTTTAGATGTTACCAAATAACAGAGCCATGAAGGGATTGTGAGGCCGCTTCAGAAGACAGAGAGGCCTTCTACACAAACGTCTTTTCCTGCAAAAACACGCGCATATCACCTTATCAAGCCTTTGGAGGACTTACCAGAGGGAGAAGAAAGCAAAGACAGAGTCAGAAGAAAGAGCTCCAGGCTTCGTTTGCAGCCATTCGCAGCCCCCTTTTGCCTGCTGCGTGGAGGACTCCTCTTCAAGACACACAGACATTGGTCGTTCATCGTAAATCCATTCAGAGGATGGGTCTGAAAGCTGTGTGAAGTGATGAGAGGTTGAGCATTTTTAGGAGGAGAAAAATTGAGAAGCTCATTTCTCTGTGTGCCGAAAAGAGGAAGGTGGGGGCGTTTATGGAGAGAAGAGGTGTGGTTACGAGCTGGCAGCCATCCCCTTTTTTCCGACCACCAGCTGGTCTTAGCTCCTTCTTAGCAGAGTCTGCCAATGCACAGAATAATAGAATTGTAAGCACCGGGAGAGACCCTAACAGTCTAGCTCTAGTGCCAAAATGAGAGGTATCTCCCTTCAAGTCTCTTGGAGTTCCTGCCCTCTGTCTTCACTAGAGATGGAGAAAAATGCATTCCCCTCAGACCCCATGAGCCTCTCTGCATGTCACACCCATTCCCAGACCTGCTTTGTGTGTAGAGAAACTCCCTCATTTGCAAAGGCCAAATTCACATTCATTCCCCAGCCTGTTTTGCCTCTCTTCTCGCCCACCACCGGCATGTGGTCCTCAAGTTGAACAACGTTTCTCAGCCCTGCCTTAAGCTGACCAGGCTCCTGCCTTCTTTCTCTGGCTCCACTTTCAAAACTTCCCTTCACTTTCCAGGGCTGATGTAAAGCTTCAAAATTCCAGCTGATCACCGCCATCAAGAACTTTGTGAAAAGTGCCCCTGGGCATGTGCAGAGGGCTGTCCCTCCCTCACCACTCAAGCGCAGCTCTCTCCAGGCGTAAAGCTGGGCAACTGGATCCCCAGGCAGAGTTTTGGAACTTCAATTTATCTCAAGGCTGAAGATGGAGTATGATGCTCCTTCCATCAATGCTGTCAGTCCTCTGAGAGAGAGAGCCGCCTTTGTAAATGATGAAAAGCAGGCAGAGAGAAGAATGTGTAGCAGGGCGTTCTTGGCTGTCTTCGTTTGTCCCATGACTGCAAAAGATTCCGCCCTATGGAACACCCTCCCATCAGATTTCAATGAAATAAACAACGATCTGACTTTTAGTAGACCTCTGAAGGCAGCCCTGTTTAGGGAAGTTTTTAATGTTTGCTGTTTTATTGTGCTTTTAATATTCTGTTGGGAGCCGCCCGGAGCGGCCGGGGAAACCCAGACAGATGGGCGGGGTATGAATAATACATTGTTATTATTAATACAAACAGTTTTCTTTTTCTTTTTAACAATGAATACCACACAAACATAAAAAACGGGCAGTTCCTTTGACATGTTTCCTAAAGATTTCTGAGCTGCCTTTCAGCTTATGCACATAAATGAAACCTATGAACAAGAAGCATATCCTTTTGATTAAAAATGGACACACATATAAACAGCAGCCCAGCCGACAAACCTCAAAAGGCACAGTGATAATATAAACCTGATTTAGAATAACATGGATTTTTTTAAATAAAAAGGACAGGAATGATTGATGTAGTTTATTGATATGATGATGATGATGATTATCATTTCCATGTATTGTTGTTGTTTAGTCGTTTAGTCGTGTCCAACTCTTCATGACCCCATGGACCAGAGCCCGCCAGGCACTCCTGTCTTCCACTGCCTCCCGCAGTTTGGTCAAACTCATGCCGGTAGCTTCGAGAACACTGTCCAATCACCTCGTCCTCTGTCGTCCCCTTCTCTTTGTGCCCTTCATCTTTCCCAACATCAGGGTCTTTTCCAGGGAGTCTTCTCTTCTCATGAGGTGGCCAAAGTCTTGGAGTCTCAGCTTCAGGATCTGTCCTTCCAGTGAGCACTCAGGGCTGATTCCTTCAGAATGGAAATGTTTGATCTTCTTGCAGTCCATGGGACTCTCAAGAGTCTCCTCCAGCACCAGAATTCAAAAGCATCCATTCTTTGGCGATCAGCCTTCTTGATGGTCCAGCTCTCACTTCCATACATCACTACTGGGAAAACCATAGATTTAACTATACGGACCTTTGTTGGCAAGGTGATGTCTCTGCTTTTTAAGATGCTGTCTAGGTTTGTCATTGCTTTCCTCCCAAGAAGCAGGCGTCTTTTAATTTCGTGACAGCTGTCACCATCTGCAGTGATCATGGAGCCCAAGAAAGAAAAATATCTCCCTGCCTCCATTTCTTCCCCTTCTATTTGCCACTGTAAAAGATCTTGAGGTGGTTTAAAATCGACATTCCCTAGAAGCTACAGAATTAAAACAGCAGCGTGGGAGCTGCAGTCCAGTCACATCTGGAGGATGGATGTGGCTGGACTACAGCTCCCATCAGCCCCCACCAGCACCCATGACTGAGCCAGGGCTGATGGGAGTTGTAGTCCAACATCATCAGAAGGGAAGAAAGTAGCAGCAAAGCAAGGAGGAAAGTAAACTAGCAAAGCATGAGCTATTAAGTAGTGTCATGAGAATTATAAGGTCTAAGTTATAAAATAAATGTTCATAAATGTACCAGGCAAACACATACATACATAAATATATAAACCACATGTCTGAAACAGAACAGGAAAGAAGTCCTGAAACCATTTTGACTCTCCCAAATTGATCTCAAATGTTTCTCTGCAAGGAGGAAGGAAATGGGAAAACCCACCCATTGTCCCTTTGCTCACAAATCCTGTCTTAAGGGCATGTCTGTGTATGAATAGTGTGAGCTTGTGGCTTGGATTCAGGAACTGAGTATTTACCATCACAAAAGAATGGCCAGACTGCCGATGTAATTCAATCATTGACCATTATCAGGTACCCTGGCAGACAGGTTTTCTGCTGTAGACCGCCCCTTTAGTGATGTATGTATGATGTATTGTGAGGTGGTCTTGAGCTACAGGGTGGCAATTTCAAATGTCTATATAAGGACTTGCACACCATCGTTCTGGGTTCCTCCTCCTTCCTTCATGTGCTGAGTGACGACCATGTTGCAACAGACGAATAAAGATCAGGCTTACTAGCTGCTTTGCTTCTCAATATTCTCTGGTTGGCCTCTGTTATTTTCTCCTACCAATAGGAAACCCACTTAAGGACTCTATACAGGCTCTTGGATACCCCATAAGGGAAAAGGAGCAGGTTTTTCTTATAACAGTGGTACCTGAGTTCACCCTTCATGGATCATCATCTGTGGTTCTCCAGAGGCAGCTGAGGACATGACAGGATCTGGCTGCCATGGACACTTCCATCCCAGGATGACCTGTATTCAGAGGCATCCTACCTTGAACAGCGGAGGGAGAACATAACCATTGTGGCTGGCAGCCACAGAGAACCTTCTCCTCCATAGATTTGTCTAATCCACTTTTACAGCCATCCAAGCTGGTTCCCCTGCTGAATCTGGTGCACAGCCTTATCTATCTCTGCACTCAAGGTAGCTATATTTTAAAAAATTAGAAACCCACAATAGGGTGCTAATGCTTTTCATTTGGGCAGCTGAAAGATGAGAAACAGGTGTGCAGGTTTCCAGGTACTCCAGCATCAAGCAAAGGACAGCTGGTGGGTGGGAGAAATTTGCCTGCAGGTGTAGCCATCTCTGTTTACATGTTGCAAAAGATTAAGGAGGGAGGAGCAGGCAGGCATTCAAATGAGGCTGCATGAAGCATCCTTCAGATATCAGTTTGCACTCAGGCCTCTTAAAAAGGTAAAGGGGCCCCTGACCATTAGGTCCAGTCGTGGCTGACTCTGGGGTTGCGGTGCTCATCTCGCTTTATTGGCCAAGGGAGCCGGTGTACAGCTTCCGGGTCATGTGGCCAGCATGACTAAGCCGCTTCTGGCGAACCAGAGCAGCGCACAGAAATGCCGTTTACCTTCCTGCCGGAGCGGTACCTATTTATCTACTGGCACTTTGACATGCTTTTGAACTGCTAGGTTGGCAGGAGCAGGGACCGAGCAATGGGAGCTCACCCCGTCGCGGGGATTCGAACCGCCGACCTTCTGATCAGCAAGTTCTAGGCTCTGTGGTTTAACCCACAGCACCATCTGTGTCCCCTCAGGCCTCTTAGGAAGTAGCAATATCTCTCTCTCTCTCTCTCTCTCTCTCTCTCACACACACACACACACACACAGAAGCTATTTCTCTGCCCCTAAAATCCAAAAACCAGCCATCATCCCTCAGACCTCTGCTCCATCCTTAGGTGAAACACACAAAAGTGATTCACTTGTGATGTTCACTTAGAGCTTATCCACACCTACGCTTTCCAGAAATCCACACTTTTAAAAGCATTTCCACCCCTTCACAAGCTTTCACCGTGAAAACCCACTCTCTGAAGCTGAATCAGAGCTAATGTCAATCCAGGTCTTCCAAGGACCAATGTTTGCTCTGACTGAGCTTTAAAGAGCAGATTTTTGCAGGGAAAGATCTGGAGCAAAAAAGAAAGAATCAACATAGAATCATAGAGTTGTAGAGTGGGAAGGGACCATGAGGGTCATCTAGTCCAACCCCCTGCAATGCAGGAATCTTTCACCCAATGTGGAACTTGAACCCACAATTCTGGGATTAGGAATCTCCTGCTTTACCAACTGAGCTATGCGCACACCCTTCCACACGTGTACCAGAGACAGTGTGCGCTTGTGTTCTGTTCAGTGGGTGGAGAAGCCTGTGGAGAATCCTTTGGAAGTGAAACTTCTCCTTCCAGTATTCCTGATCTGAAATGCAATGCTGGCACAGAAGGAAAAACCCCTCCTCTGCAAAATAATGTGTATCAGAACCTGGTGGGAACCAGAACTTAATCAGCAGAAATTGCCAGTGCTTACTGCACATGTGTATTAAACATGAAATGAGGTAATGATGTGTATGATTGGTGGAAACTGAAATGCTTTGTTTGAAATTTTATAAATACCACTGCTTGGACCACTGGGCGGCATTGCAGTTTTGGGGAACGATCCGACTGTAACCTATTGTTTTGCAATAAACAACATTGGACTCCTATCTCCTCTCATTTCTGAGTTTTATTGGCGTAAACCCAGGAGATACTGTATTTCACTCCATAAGACGCACTTTTCCCCTCCTAAAAAGTAAGGGGAAATGTGTGTGCGTCTTATGGAGCGAATGCAGGTGGGAGGCTCTGCTCAGCGCTCCCTTTAAAGAGCCACATGGAGCATGTGTGTGGCTGTTGGGGGCTTTTCCCCGAGGAGGGAGAAGGGCTGCCCTCTGTCCCTTCCCACACCTCCCGGAAAAGCCAGCAAGAGCCGTTGCCAGGCTCTGCTCAGCGCTCCCTTGTAAGGGCTCCCTTTCGTCCCTCATCCTGCTTTGCTGGGAAGCCAGCAGAAGAGGCGCTGTGCAACTATCGCTCTAATTTTGCTGGCTTCAGCGAGAGCTGCGCAGTTTGCTCTGCTGGCTTCTCAGCAAAGCGGGAGGAGGGACGGAAGGGTTTAAAGCAAGAAAAGCGAGACCCGCTTACATGCTCTGTGCAGAATATATTTTTTTTCTTGCTTTCCCCCTCTAAAAACTAGGTGCGTCTTATGGTCAGGTGCATCTTATGGAGCGAAAAATACGGTAAGCTATTTTCTGGCTTACAACAATCCTGCACCTTAAGTTTTTCCATACTACACTCATACTTCATGTTACGGACGCTTCGGGTTACGTGTTTTCGGGTTGCGGACTGTGGGGGCGGGCGGCGGAGTGTCACTTTAAGTATTATTTTTTTTACCTCACTATAATAAGTCATCTCCGAAAAACCCTTTGCCACTTTACATGTCCACCACATATGGTAAAAAGTACCTTCTGGTTCTGTAGATTTCCAGCATATACCTGACTGATTTGTACATTTCCGCTAGCTTATTCAGTGTCAGATACCATCTATAAATCATTTCCACAAATTTTTCTTTCAAAGCATAACATGCTGCAAATTTTACATTTCAGCAATTTACCCCTGCCTCCATTGCCAGGGTGTGCAATACTGAACAGGATGGAGCCATCCCCTGATCTCTGCTGAGTGGTCATGTTTCCCTTGGGAGTTCAGACATGGAAGAGACTGATATATCATTTATTTTACGCCAGGATATATTCGGGACCAGAATAAAGCAAGGAATAAAGTCTAGACAAATCCAGAGTGGAGTCCCTAAGACGGTTGGATGGCGCCTTATACGCCTCCTTCTGGCAACTTCTGCAGCCAAGCTAGTGCCAAATGTCTTGCTCTGCTTTCCTTTGGACCACATCAGCCAGGCCGAGGGGGGGGGGTCAGTCTTGCCCCAGAGGAAGGTCACTTTGGTGCTGCAAACACTGTGGTTTGGCTTCATCCCCAGAGGAACACGCCATTTTCTCTCGAGGCAGACAGATGCCAACCTAGACACCTAGGCGGAATCTACACGTTCTGAAAATGTTTTTTTTAAAAATAAAATAAAATGCAGTTTTAAAAAAATACATTGAATTTTACATAAAGCCATCTAGTGTCACATTGTATATTGCACATAAAACACATTTAATTAATTAATAAGAGTTTGGAACACAGAAATAAAGCAAATAATCATGCCATCAATTCTAGCATGCGGGGGGGCCACCTTATCTAAATTATATAATTCGGTATTTGAATGATTGGTGTCAGGGGTCTGACAATTGGTATTAATAATAGTATTATAAATTGGTTATAATGAGGCCATTATTGGATTGTAATTGAAAACAAATAGAAAACATTATTTTAAAAAGAGTATTTTGTCAGCTGATAAATAGTGATGCTGTGGTCTAAACCACTGAGCCTTTTGAGCTTGCCACTTGGAAGTTTGGCGGTTTTAATCCCCACGACGGGGTGAGCTCCCGTTGCTCGGTCCCAGCTCCTGCCAACCTAGCAGTTTGAAAGCATGTCAAAGTCCAAGTAGATAAACAGGTACCGCTCTGGTGGGAAGCTAAACGGCATTTATGTGCGCTCTGGTTCCCATCACGGTGTTCTGTTGTGCCAGTAGTGGTTTAGTGATGCTGGCCACATGACCCGGTAAACTGTCCGTGGATAAATGCCGTCTCCTTCGGCCTGAAAGCGAGATGAGCTCCGCAAACCCATAGTCGCCTCTGACTGGACTTAACCGTCCAGGGGTCCTTTACCCTTTACCTTAAGGTAAAGGGACCCCTGACGATTAGGTCCAGTCGTGACTGACTCTGGGGTTGCGGCGCTCATCTCGCTTTACTGGCCGAGGGAACCAGCGTACAGCTTCCGGGTCATGTGGCCAGCAGGACTAAGCCGCTTCTGGCGAACCAGAGCAGCGCACGGAAACGCTGTTTGATATGCTTTCGAACTGCTAGGTTGGCAGGAGCAGGGACCGAGCAACGGGAGCTCACCCCATCACGGGGATTTGAACCGCCAACCTTCTGATCGGCAAGTCCTAGGCTCTGAGGTTTAACCCACAGCACCACCCGCATCCCACCCTTTACCTTATCTTTACCTAAATAGTATCTGCTGGTATGTGCCTTAAATAATTGTTACTGCCTATTTTATAACAATTTTCAGGATGTTAGAGCTCTAGCATTATTGAAATAAAATGTTTGGAGTTAGATATTCTGAACACCATCAAGTGCTTCTCCCACCACTATAGGACTAAACTTTGACACAAAATTGCAGCACATTTCTAAAAGACTCATTGGCCATCAGATGCAGAGAAAACCCAGTCTGAAAACCCCCTGTAAAAATCTTCCCAGCATAGGAACAAACAAAACATTAGGAACAAACCAACAGTTAACAGACATACTCCTTGCTATGGTGAGTTGTTTGTCCTACAAATGTGTTTCCACTGTGCAACAGGTTTATCAATCGGCTCCTGGTTCTTGCCATTTTGCAGATATTTAGCCATCCAAATTTAAATGAATGGAATTAAATTAATGAAGATTTTGATTCAATCTCAGGTAATCTTGTTATATTTCAAAAGGCAAAAGGGGGCCCCTTCTAAAATTCTAGTCAGCAGATCTGCACTGACCCTTAAAATGGTAGGATCCTCACAATGTAAAAAATGAATATCATGACAAAAGCTGCTTCAATAAAAGCACAATTTGTTTTTTCTGGAAGATATCAGAGATGAAACACGGCAGAGAGAGAGGGAGGAAGGACTGCTTTGTGACCAAAACAACACAAGCGTTTGATCTTGCACATTTTATTTCTAATTTCATTGTTCTCCATGATCCAATTCCCCACATGTAAATAACAAGATCTTGTGAGACAGGTTTTTCTTTAAATTTCTAAAGCTAACAGCTGATCTGAGCACCGCATTGTCTTGAAAAGTAACCGAAGATATGGGAAATCACTTGAGAGTCAAATCTTTCTGAATGTAGTGGAAAATAATTCAGCAGGGCACGCGACACAGAGCTGTCTTGGAGGACTATTTCAGAAATTACGGTCGGGTGCAAAATAGAACAGCTTCTTAAGCAATTGCACCAACTTCCGGACCATTTCTGACCACAGTTCAGAGTTTCCCTGATAGCATCAACTGCAAAGTTTCTAATTTAAACAAAGGTTTATGGAACTTTTGAATCAAGAAAATGGAGTGCTTAGTAAAATAAGTATGATAAAAGATTCAGAGAGGAATAGCTTAGACAAATTGCCAAGACAGGGCTTCAGTGCTCGAGTAAGTGTTCTCAGGCTCATCCCCTGCTTTTTGGCCAAGCTAGCGTGGAAACCTCCTGCTCTCTATTCAGAAGAACCTTCCCGACAGAAAGAAATAAGGTACAGAAGACTGAAAGAGCCAGTAGATTCCCATCCCGTGATTCAACGAATTGGGGAAACAAATTCTTATTTTGGGGGGACATACTGCAAGTGCAGACACCCAGGGAAGGACCAGGGTTTCAGTACTGAGATAGCTTCATTCTCAGCTTTGGAGGAACGGATGCTTTGGTCGGTTCCCTCAAGACTTTCCTTCTGCTCTTACAAAAAGCTTCCTACCTCCTTAGGGTGGCATCTTCCTTCATGTCTTCCTGGTCATAATCCCAAATACAGCCAAGAAGAGGAGCAAAATGATGAGAAAACCCCACCTCCAATGCTGTATGAGTTGACGGTCACCTGTAAAGACTGGATAAAGAATAATTTTCTTTTTGTTTTTTTTCAAAAAAGGTGCAAGATATTGGAAGACCACTAAAATGTTGCGCAACGCTCATTGGCAGAGCACACATGTTGCATGGACAAGGGTCTCGGCTAGAGCTGTGCACAACCAGCTTCTTGAAAGCCTCCACTTATCTGATGGGATCAGAGCTACCTCAGCAATACAGAAACTTATTTATGTATACGACTACAGTCGCAATAAAGATCTTTGCCCAAAAATGGAAAGAAGAAGATGTTCCGACGAGAGAAGAATGGTCACAGAAAACAATGGAATGAGCAGAAATGGAGAAACTTAATGGACGAATTAGGAAACAAACTTTTTATTAAGGAACAGAAATGGTTTATTGAACAAATTGCAAACAGATTAAGACATTATCAGGATTACTGTAAAAACTTGCAGTTTTAAAAACAGATATAGAGGAATAAAATGAATATTGTGGGGTAAAAAAACAAACCAAGGTGTATGTTGGAGTTTTAGTTGAAAAATTCACCAAAGGGTAAATGGTTAAGAAAACCCTCCCAGATTCACCCAGTGGTTATCTGCAGTAATCCATCTCCCATTACTGATCACTTCACCTGGTTCCTATTTCTTTCCTTGCTGTTTTCTCATTATTATATGTAGGTAAGGTAAAGGAACCCCTGACCATTAGGTCCAGTCGTGACCGACTCTGGGGTTGCGGCGCTCATCTCGCTTTATTGGCCGAGGGAGCCGGCGTACAGCTTCCGGGTCATGTGGCTAGCATGACTAAGCTGCTTCTGGCGAACCAGAGCAGCGCACCGAAATGCCGTTTACCTTCCTGCCAGAGCGGTACCTATTGATCTACTTGCACTTTGACGTGCTTTCAAACTGCTAGTTGGACAGGAGCAGGGACCAAACAATGGGAGTTCACCCCGTCACGGGGATTCGAACCACCGACCTTCTGATCAGCAAGCCCTAGGCTCTGTGGTTTAACCCACAGTGCCTCCCGTGTCCCGATTTTTATGTACTTAGAGGTTAATCATTATTATTACCATTATTATGTGGTTTATAAGCTATGCTGAGAGTGCTTGAATGGCTGTGAAATCCTTTCATTGTTAGAGAACTCCATTCATTGCCAAAGCTGCTGTTTTCCATGGAAAGAAAACCCACATGTCATAATCCCCAGATGTTTTCTCATGCCAGATGTTGGCTTGATGGCTGCCAATGACTGGCCTTCTTGCTGCTCTGAGAATGCAAGCTCAAATATTGGTTAGAGAAAAAAACACAGCTGGGTCTGTGAAGTAGAAAAGAGGTTGAATGTTTTGGACTTTGTGAAAAAATCTATCCCACAGCAGGCTTGTTGGGATACACTATCTCTGGGTGTAATATATATATATATAGATATCTAGGAAGACTTTCAGATAACAACTTTTATAAATATGCTTTTAAATATAATGCTGTTATCAGGATGAAAAGAGCCACATAAATGATGGCACAGGCAAAGAGGCCTGTGTTTTACAGCGTCTGTTATAGCTTTTGAAGCTTGTGAAAGCTGCAATTTTCAGATAAAAAATTTAACTTGCTTTTGAGGGTTGCTTTTAAAAGTTATGTTTTGATGAATATTCTAGATTCCTTTGTAAACCACTAGCATTGTTCAATAAAAAGAGAGAGAGAGAAGAAACAGATAAGACAACACCCGGAACTTCACCTGTTGGCTTTCTGCAAGAATTGTGTATATGTCCCCAACTGACCTCACCTTCCACCTCCTTCTCAGTTCTCTGTGGCCTTCTTGAATCCAATTATAGGCTTACTGATTTGTTAGAATTCTGTTTGAATTTTGCAAGCTGGTTATGAGGACCGATTCCTAAGTTTGCAACGGTTCATGAATCTGTCTAGATTTCCATTTGAAAAATTTAAAATCTTTCCAATTCACTGACCCCATGATAAGGCTCATTTTGAAATTAAAATGGAAGGGAAGTGTTGGGTGTTCAGCACCCCAATCAACTACCCAGCTAATGCATAATGAGGAAGGGGAGGAGGACAAATAACTGTTCAGCTTTCACTGTGTTTTATGCACTTTTAAAGATTAAATCAATGATTTTTTAATTAAGTGGTTTCTGCAGTTTTCTAAATAAAATAGAGAGTTGCTCACCTTCAGTTTGGCAGATGTGCAGCAAGTTGGAGGAGATGCTTTTCTGATCTGCTGGATTGGTGACCAGGCAGGTGATGTTGGGCTCTGAGGAGCTGAGCTTCCAGAACAAGTGGAGATTTTTGCCATTGCCAGAGAGGTGATATGACTTTGAACCATCTTCTAAGTCCCTGAAGGCATCTCCTCCTTTCCAGGAGATGTTGAATTCCCCCTTTCCAGGCACCTGACACTGCAGGGTCACATTGCAGCCATCTGGGCTCTTGGAGACAATTTGGGAGAGGATTTTTGGTTCTGGGACTGGTTCTGTGGAATAACATATGAAAGGCTCATACGTTTCCCAGCACAATTCAAAATGTTGGTGCTGACCTTTAAAGGCCTAAATGACCTTGGCCCAGTATACCTGAAGGAGCGTCTCCAGCCCCATCATTCAGCCCGGACACTGAGGTCCAGCTCCGAGGGCCTTCTGGCGGTTCCCTCATTGTGAGAAGCAAAGCTACAGGGAACCAGGCAGAGGGCCTTCTCGGTAGTGGCGCCTGCCCTGTGGAACGTCCTCTCATCAGATGTCAAAAAGATAAACAAATACCTGACATTTAGAAAACATCTGAAGGCAGCCCTGTTCAGGGAAGATTTAATGTTTGATCTTGCATCGTGGTTTTAATATTCTGTTTGGAGCCGCTCAGAGTGGCTGGGGAAACCCAGCCAGATGGGCATGGTATAAATAATAAATTATTATTATTATTATTATTATTATTATTATTACTATTATCTGTGCCCACCGTGGGTGTCAGCCACTGCCCAGCAACATCACTGCTGAAGGAGAAAAAGCTTGGCTCTTTTTCCAGGCTCTATTCCACAATAAATGTACACAGATGAATAAAGAATTGCTTACCATACGCAGAGAGGTGGAAGGTGTAATCTTCATACTGTGTCGAAATAAACCTCACTCTAATGGAATATTTGCCACTGTCATCCATTTCCAAGTCTTTGATCCTCAGGGTGGTATCATCTGCCATCTCCAATCTTGGCCCAAACCTGTCCTTGGGATTCAGCCTCTCCAGTCTTCCTTCCCTCAACTCAGCCAGCTGAAATTTCAAACCATTTTCTCCCTGGAAATCCCATTCAGTTGTTTTCAGTGTTTCCAAGAGGGGGATATTTACAGGGAGCAACACACAGCCTCCCAAGATCCCATTCAACTTCTCCTTGTGGGGATTCTGTACTCTGATACTTGCAGTACCTTAAAAAGTTCAGGGAGATGGAAAAGAAGGAAGGAAAAGGGAGAAACAAAGTCAAAGAAAGGGACAATGGTTGGAAAAGTCTCTCAGAATCACCGATTTAAAGCTTTTTGATTTCTGCTTGCCTATTAATTTCAGGAATTGACCTTTACTCAATCTTTTAAGTTATTCTCTTTGTAAGTTTCTGTGGACAAGCACCAATTAAAAAAATGAAATGGTTTCTGAATCCTGGGAGCCCCGATTAAAGCACATGCCAAATTCTGGGAAGGGTTGCCTGGACGGAGAGATTTTAACAGGTGCCAAAAAGAGTGCATTAATCTGCCTGGTGCCAAGAGGCAGGGAGTTTCAAAGTCTAGGTTCTGTTAAATTAAAAGATTGATTTCTTGCAGGTTTGAAATGAATATTATGTGGCACTTGTAAGTAGTACCAATTCAAGAGCTTATATGGATTAAGGTGATCCTTGAAATAAACTGGTCTCAAGCTACTGAGGGCTTTATGTACCAGTAGTAATGTCTTAAATTTAGCCCTATAACATAACACCAGCCAATGCAGATCTCTGAGGAGAGGTGTTAAATGTGGACAGGGTCTTACTCATACCAGCAATTATACACTAACTGCAGCTTTTAATTCAAGCCCAAAAGGAGACCCACTCAGAGTGTATTGGATATCATTATTCAATTCTGAAAGGTGCTTTGTCAGACTGCAGACACATCATTGCAAACTGCCTTTCTGAACACAAAGCAGCCAGATATTCCAGGACTGAGTCTTTGAAGGATCCAGCTTTCCTCAGCTAAAACTGAAATGAAGTTTCCGGCAAAGAAGAATCCCTCCATTTTGAGAGGAAGAAAACTGAGGCATCTCACTCTGTTCCAACCCTAAAATGCTCTCGCTTGAAAAGGAAGCAGTACTGTTTCAAACGATTTTATAGTCGGCGGCCTCTGCATCCATCCTTTACAGCACAGCGAGTCTCCTGGCTGCATCCCCTCTGTTGTTTGCGCTCTGCGCGTAATGTAGCTTATTTTAGATGTTACCAAATAACAGAGCCATGAAGGGATTGTGAGGCCGCTTCAACAGACAGAGAGGCCTTCTACACAAACGTCTTTTCCTGCAAAAACACGCGCATATCACCTTATCAAGCCTTGGAGGACTTACCAGTGAGAGAAGAAAGCAAAGACAGAGTCAGAAGAAAGAGCTCCAGGCTTCTTTTGCAGTCATTCGCAGCCCCCTTTTGCCTGCTGCGTGGAGGACTCTTCTTCAAGACACACAGACATTGGTCGTTCATCGTAAATCCATTCAGAGGATGGGTCTGAAAGCTGTGTGAAGTGATGAGAGGTTGAGCATTTTTAGGAGAAAAATTGAGAAGCTCATTTTCTCTGTGTGCCGAAAAGAGGAAGGTGGGGGCGTTTATGGAGAGGAGAGGTGTGCTTACGAGCTGGCAGCCATCCCCTTTTTTCCGACCACCAGCTGGTCTTAGCTCCTTCTTAGCAGAGTCTGCCAATGCACAGAATAATAGAATTGTAAGCACCGGGAGAGACCCTAACAGTCTAGCTCTAGTGCCAAAATGAGAGGTATCTCCCTTCAAGTCTCTTGGAGTTCCTGCCCTCTGTCTTCACCAGACATGGAGAAAAATGCATTCCCCTCAGACCCCATGAGCCTCTCTGCATGTCACACCCATTCCCAGACCTGCTTTGTGTGTAGAGAAACTCCCTCATTTGCAAAGGCCAAATTCACATTCATTCCCCAGCCTGTTTTGCCTCTCTTCTCGCCCACCACCGGCATGTGGTCCTCAAGTTGAACAACGTTTCTCATCCCTGCCTTAAGCCAACCAGGCTCCTGCCTTCTTTCTCTGGCTCCACTTTCAAAACTTCCCTTCACTTTCCAGGGCTGATGTAAAGCTTCAAAATTCCAGCTGATCACCGCCATTAAGAACTCTGTGAAAAGTGCCCCTGGGCATGTGCAGAGGGCTGTCCCTCCCTCACCACTCAAGCGCTGCTCTCTCCAGGCGTAAAGCTGGGCAACTGGATCCCCAGGCAGAGTTTTGGAACTTCAATTTATCTCAAGGCTGAAGATGGAGTATGATGCTCCTTCCATCAATGCTGTCAGTCCTCTGGGAGAGAGAGCCGCCTTTGTAAATGATGAAAAGCAGGCAGAGAGAAGAATGTGTAGCAGGGCGTTCTTGGCTGCCTTCATTTGTCCCATACTTGCATGACTGCAAAAGATTCCACCCTATGGAACACCCTCCCATCAGATTTCAAGGAAATAAACAACGATCTGACTTTTAGTAGACATCTGAAGGCAGCCCTGTTTAGGGAAGCTTTTAAGGTTTGCTGTTTTATTGTGCTTTTAATATTCTGTTGGAAGCCGCCCAGAGCGGCTGGGGAAACCCAGACAGATGGGCGGGGTATAAATAATAAATTGTTGTTGTTGTTGTTGTTGTTGTTGTTGTTGTTGTTACAAACAGTTTTCTTCGATTTGTCTAATCCACTTTTAGAGCCATCCAAGCTGGTTCCCCTGCTGAATCTGGTGCACAGCCTTAGAATCTATCTCTGCACTCAAGGTAGCTATATTTTAAAAATTCAGAAACCCACAATAGGGTGCTAATGCTATTCATCTGGGCAGCTGAAAGATGAGAAACAGGTGTGCAGGTTTCCAGGTACTCCAGCATCAAGCAAAGGACAGCTGGTGGGTGGGAGAAATTTGCCTGCAGGTGTAGCCATCTCTGTTTACATGTTGCAAAAGATTAAGGAGGGAGGAGCAGGCAGGCATTCAAATGAGGCTGCATGAAGCATCCTTCAGATATCAGTTTGCACTCAGGACTCTTAAAGGTAAAGGGACCCCTGACCATTAGGTCCAGTCGTGGCTGACTCTGGGGTTGCAGTGCTCAACTCGCTTTATTGGCCAAGGGAGCCGGTGTACAGCTTCCGGGTTATGTGGCCAGCATGACTAAGCCGCTTCTGGCGAACCAGAGCAGCGCACAGAAATGCCGTTTACCTTCCCGCCGGAGCCGTACCTATTTATCCACTTGCACTTTGACATGCTTTCGAACTGCTAGGTTGGCAGGAGCAGGGACCGAGCAACGGGAGCTCATCCCGTCATGGGGATTCGAACCGCCGACCTTCTGATCAGCAAGTCCTAGGCTCTGTGGTTTAATCCACAGCTCCACCCGCGTCCCTAGGAAGGCCTCTTAGGAAGCAGCAATCTCTCTCTCACACAGAAGCTGTTTCTCTGCCCCTAAAATTAAAAAACCAGCCATCATCCCTCAGACCTCTGCTCCATCCTTAGGCGAAACACACAAAAGTGATTCACTTGTGATGTTCACTTAGAGCTTATCCACACCTACGCTTTCCAGAGATCCACACTTTTAAAGCATTTCCATGCCTGCACAAGGTTTCCCCGTGAAAACCCACTCTCTGAAGCTGAATCAGAGCAAATGTCAATCCAGGTCTTCCACGGACTGATGTTTGCTCTGACTCAGCTTTAAAGGGCGGGTGGTCGTAGGGAAAGATCTGGAGCAAAAAAGAAAGAATCAACACAGAATCAGGGTTGTAGAGTGGGAAGGGACCATTAGGGTCATCTAGTCCAACCCCCTGCAATGCAGGAATCTTTCACCCAATGTGGAACTTGAACCCACAATCCTGGGATTAGAAGTCTCCTGCTTTAATGACTGAGCTATGCGCACACCCTTCCACACTTGCGCATGTGTACCAGAGACAGTGTGCGCCTGTGTTCTGTTCAGTGGGTGGAGTAGCCTGTGGAGGATCCTTTGGAAGTGAAACTTCTCCTTCCAGTATTCCTGATCCCAAGCGCAATGCTGGCACAGAAGGAAAAACCCCTCCTCTGAAAAATAATGTATTTTTATGCTATAGCCACGAGGTGGCAGCTCCTGAATGAAAAACACAGTGGAAAAGACGTGTGCCAAACTTGCGCAGCTTCCGCAGCGTGCAGGTTTGTAGCAGTGCAGTTTTGTGCTGGAAGAAATTCAGACCGACTCCAACTCTTCAGTCAGCTCAGTCCTTTGCTGACAGGACCAAAGCAGCTCTAGGCTATCATCTTTCCCACTAGAAGCTCTGTGACGCTTCCACAATATTAACACGTCACTGCCATCTAGAGGGGCAACTCAGTAATGCAAGAAAAGCGGGATGAAAAGTTGGAGGCTTTCAGCAAGACATTACAGGCCGTGCGCTGATTGGAAAGAAAGCAGTTTGTCCCCCTTAAAATTTTTGCAGGTGCAAACGGTATTGAGACTAGGGTCACCTTCATACCATACAGTTAAAATTCTGAGATACCACTTGAAATATACTCGGAGTCGAGAGTGGATTTCATGCTCTTTATTCGGCTCATAGTGGTGAGGAGGAATGGAAGTTCCCCTAGAATGTCTGCCTTATATACATAATTTACACAATGGGCTCCACGTGATTGGCTAATTCCAGGATTCTCCTGTAGGCCAATCAGGTTGCGGATTGACTTCCACCTGGAGCTGGATTGGGTGGCTCCTGTGGACCAATCAGACTGCTGCATTCTGGACCCTATTGTTCTAGGACCAATCAGACTACTGCATTTTGGATTCTATTCAACTCAGTACATCACACCACTTTAACCGATCGTGCCTCCCCACTCTAGGAAGTGTAGTTTATAAAGGGGGCTGAGAAGTGTTAGGAGATCCCTGTTCCCCCTCCCTGAACTACATTTCCCAGAGTTCTTTGGAAACTGGCGCTTCCCTGTCACAGGCATGTGATTAATGGAACGCTTTCCCAGGCAGGTTTGGCTGGCGCCAACTTTGTCATCATTTCAGTACCACAAAAAAACATGTTCTGTTTTCCTAGGGTAGCAGCAATGACATTATATGTCACTGTTAAATCTCCTTTCTATTTATTTTATTACTTTATTTCTTACCTTGATTGTAAATCGCTTTGGGGCTTTCCCCCCTATTGCTATATGAAGTTCCTCTCTATATATGAAGTTGCACTGGTCTGTTGTCACACTGTTGTTTTACATCATCAGACAACCCTACCTCTCCTGCGAAGATTCAGTTGAACAAATGGCTAACACAATCCCATTTATTTCAATGAGTCTGCTCCAAGTTACTTTAATGAACCCTATCAAGCACTTTAATCATTGATAAAACTTTGAGACAAAACAGTGCAATTGGGACATACAAACAACATTTGACTGCCTTCAAAGGCACGGCTTAGTCATGAATCTGAATCAAAGTGCCCTGACACCATCACAAACAATAACATAATTGGAAAAGGTTGGGTTTGGTGGTGCAATAAACAAAAATCTGCCCTTATTCCCTTATGGGGGACACAAGAGCCCTTGTAGAGTTCTTTGTAGGTTCTCCATCGGTAGGAGAAAATAACAGAGGCCAACCAGAGAATACTGAGAAGCAAGGCAGCTCGTAAGCCTGATCTTTATTGAACTGTTGCAACAGGGTGCTCCCTTCACACACAAGGAGAAGGAGGAGGACCCAGAACCAAGGTGTGCCCGCCCTTATATAGACATTTTAAATTCCCTGCCCTGGAGCTCAAGACCATCCCTCCATACATACATCACAGAAGGGGTGTAACCCAAGACCACCCCCCCACAAACATCATACCTACATCACAGAAAAGGTGGTCTACAGCAGGAATTTGAATGTTGTTGTTTTTCCTGTCGGCTAGGTTATCTGATCATGCCTTATCTGATTGCCTTTCCTGGTAGCCTGCCCATTCCTTTGAGATGGTGATTACCCAATTCCTGCCCTCCCTCCTTGCAGAGAAAACATTTGGTCAGTTTGGGAGTCAAAATGGTTTCAGGGCGGTCTTCCTGTGCTGCTCCAGACATGTGGTCCTCATATCTATGTACATGCTAGATTGGTACATTTATATGTACCAATTTCAGGTCACATGGCCAGCGTGACAAGCTGCATCTGGCGAGCCAGCGCAGCACACGGAACGCCGTTTACCTTCCCGCTGGTAAGTGGTCCCTATTTATCTACTTGCACCCGGAGGTGCTTTCGAACTGCTAGGTTGGCAGGCGCTGGGACCGAACGACGGGAGCGCACCCTGCCGCGGGGATTTGAACCGCTGACCATGTGATCGGCAATTCCTAGGCGCTGAGGTTTTACCCACAGCGACACCCGCGTCCCATATATATATATATATATATATATATATATATATAACCTTAAATTTTTTATTTCTGTGGTGTACCTATGCCCCCCCCCCAGTTTGAGAGTTAATTACTCAGTTTGGGGGGTGGGTGGGGGCAGAAAATGGGGTTTGCAGCACACAACTGCACTAA